GCAGGGTGGGGAGAGTGGTCACCCGAGAAGCCAGGCCTCTCCCTGCCCCTGCCCACCTGGTCCAGGCCAGCCAGCCCTGGGGCCTGCACTGCCCCCGAGGCTCCCCTGGCTGCCGGCTCCGACACCCCTGGCCTCTGCTCGCAGGTGCCGCAGCTGGAGGCCCTGCAGGCCCAGCCCCTGAGCAGAGCCGTGGCTCCAGCCCCGGGAAGCGGGTCGTGGCTCTCGGGGGGCACCTGCTCCCCAGGCCACTCATGAATCCTGGCTCCCCAGCCCCAGGCCCCTTACCTTCAGGCGGGGCAGGTGGGTGCTGGGCCCGCACTCAGGCCGCCGGCTCCTCTGTTTGTCCAGGCCAAGGTCTCTCCTCCCCCTCCTGGCCAGCCTGGGGTGGATCAATGGCCCAGAGCCATGGCTGGGGTGCCTGGCCCTTGTCCCCTGTGGCCTGTGGCCCCAGGCTCCATAGGGCTCCTGCCGGTGTGGGACAGCGCCGTGACTGCGCACAGGTGATCAGGCAGGAGGCTGGAGACACACCGCCCGCCCCGCCGCCCAGGCCCGCCCCCAGGCGCCCGAGGCTGGCAGGCAGGTGCAGGAGACCGAGCTCTCCCGGGGGACCGTTGCCTGGTGACACTCCTCCCTGACTGCAGCCCTGTCCCCAAGAGCAAGAAGGGGGGTGGGGGCTGAGGACTGGGGGCTGTGCAGAGACCCAGGCAGGGAGGCACAGGAGTTCATACCAGTCCACTCACCTGGACAGTGAGACCAGAGAAGCCACCGGCCCAACAGAAAAGGAGGCCGGCCCCCCGGCCCCGGGCACAGGGAGGAGGAAGGGAGGGGCGGGCTGGATGCCTTCTCCGCCAAGCTGGGCCTTCTGGGAATCAGTACATTATTTTAGGGAGCCCTGCTGTCCATGATGGTGGCCACAGGTGGCTCTTGAGTGCCTGGGATGTGGCCAGTGTGAACTGAGACGGGCTCACAGAGAAGACGGGCACCAGATTTGCAAGACGCAGAACAAGGAAGGCGACGCCCCCCCCTCGAGTCTCTGTCCACCACATCCTGAAATCACAGTCTCACTCTGGGGAGAAATCAAATTCGTTATTAAATCAGTGTCACCCGCCTTCCTGCCTCGTGTCCATCTGTTCCGATCGGAGGAGGCACAGGGCACCTCAGACGGCAGAAGGCACAGCGCCTCCTCCTGGCTGCACGCGACCTGAGTCACACGGGTGCCGAGTCACAGGCGCACGCGGGGTCACGGCGTCCCATCC